GGAGGTATGCCGTGTGGGACATGAAATAAGTGCAGGTGGAGGACAGATCCGTGATAAGGGGCTGGATCTTTGGCTCTTGGAGATGTTTTGAGTAGACTTATTTAAAGGAGAACTATGGGGTCAGGGCTTTTCCCCATAGTTCTCCTAAGGGTAACGGGAGGACACAAACTAGCGTCCTCCCATCACCCAAATCTCAGCATACAGCGAGCTACAGCTCGCGGTATACTGGGCGCCGCAGCCGGAACGGATCCCGACAATGCTGTCTGGATCCACCCAGCTGCGTGAGTGACAGTTGGCTCTGCCTATCTAGAGGCAGAGCCAGCTGTACCCGCCCCCTCTCCCGTCCATTCCGCCAGTCAGCGCTGGAGGAACGGACAGGGGAGGTGGGGGAATCCCTGCAGGGAGCCGTGAGTGACAGTCACGGCTCTCTGCACAGATAGATCGAGAAGTGAGCGAGCGACGGTATGTGTTCACTCACTTCCTGATCTACTGAGCTGACCTGTGACAGTTTCATTGTCACAGGTCAGCTCATATTATGAGGCTGAGTGAAAATCACTCGCCTCATAATTCTCCTTTAATGCTTGGATACACTTGAAATGGGATTGATAGAAGAAGTTTGTTTGGAGATGATTGTGATGATTTTAAGCAAATGGTGCAATAATGGAAATAACCCTGAAGAGCTGGGGTAATGGTTTTATTGGGAGCAATTAGTGCAGTAATGGGGAAAATGTTCATATGATGGTATTAATTTCCAGTTCTTCGTTGAGACCAGAAGGAGACAACGTGTTAAGCTTGTAAATCCAGTATGTTTCCTGTTTACACAGCACATGAAACCTTTCTGGTGGGAGTGATCGGGGATCTGTTCTCTGGCAAAGACCTGGAGAAGTTTTGTTTTTACAGGAAGTGGCTGTGGATGCTGTGTTCGGTGTTACCCTGTTCGATAAATCTTCTGTGCTCCCCTATTCGCTTGCTTAGGGGGCGAATGGTGCGACCTTTATAGAGGAGGTTGCAGGGGCATTTCAGGCAGTATACTACAAAATTATGGCCATAGGTGATGAAATGGTGGATCGGAAATGTGTTCCCAGAGCTGTCTGTAAATGTGGTTTGGCCGTGCGTAATAAATTGACAAGTGAGCCATTGCCATTTTTTACATATATGAACTCCTGTCCTGTTGTCAAAGAGGAATGTGTGTGTGGGTTTTTTTTTTTTTTTTTTTTTTGTAAAAAAATTTTTTTTGGTGGATGATTTGCTGGGTGCCACAATGTTTGTTTTTTAATGCTTTTTGCTTTCTGGCAAACTGCGGTTAATTTGGGTGGAAGTATTGGGCCCAATTTAGGATCACACAGGAGTAAAAACCAATTATTTTTCAGGATTGATTCAATAGCTTTTAGTCTATTGTTGAAAGGGGTAATGAAGCGTACTGCATTCTCCAGGGCTTGATTTTAGTTTCTATGTTTTGGTGCTGTGTTTTGTGTGGATAAATGTTCTTGGGCCTTAATGACAAGGTTTTTGGGGTAACCTTTCTCAGTGAACTTGTTCTTAAGGAGGTGGCTTTGTTTAAGTTAGTCTTCCTTTTTAGTGCATTTTCTATTGAGTCTCCAAAACTGGCCCTTTGGGACGTTTTGTTTCCAGAGGGGGTGGTGACAGCTTTTGAAGTGGAGATAAGAGTTACCGGCAGTGGGCTTAAAATGTGTTTTGGTAATGATGGTCCTGTCGATGACATGGGTGAACTTTAGACCAGAAGGGTTGGTGTTGCAATGCGTCAGTCAGTGAGGATTATGATGGTCGATGGTCCATCCCACATGATGATGTCATCAATGTAGCGGCCATAATAAATCAGGTGTTTGGCGAAGGAGTTATTCTGTCAGATGTGAAAAAGTTCCTAGTACCCCATGGTTTGATTGACGTTGCTGGGGGCATAATTCGCCCCCATGGCTGTGCCTTGGATTTGTAGATAGAACATAATTATTTCTTGTTCCTTGGCAGATTTTAAGGTGAATCTGGTGTAGTTCAGGATAAATTGTGCTTGTTTGTGGTGTAATGCTGGTTGTTGTGAAAGGTAATACTGAAGTGCCTGGAGGCATACTTCGTAGGGGATAGACGTGTACAGGGAACAAACATCTAGAGATACCCAGTGGTAGGTGGGCTCCCAGGTATAATGGCTCAGTGTGACACAATAAGATATCCGGAGTCTCTTAAGTAGGATGGTAGGGTGATAACTATGGGCTGTAGGAAGTGGTCCAAGTATCGGGAGAGGCCACTTGTGAGACTGTCAATGCTGGATATGATTGGGTGACCTGGGGGTGTGATCTAATTTTTGTGTATTTTCAGTAAGTGGTAGAAGAAAAGTGTTTTGGGTTGTGTGGGGCAGACAACTGATCTTTCTTTTTTCATGATCCCCTCATCCCCGAATGCTTTGTCTTTTACGGTTTTGAGATCTGTGAGGAATTGGGGTAGTGGGTCGGTGGGGAGTGTTAAGTAGGTCGAATAGTCGAAAAGGAGACGGTGTGCTTCCTTGATAAAGTTGTTGCGATTTTGGATCACTATGCCATCTCCTTTGTCTGCCTGTCATAATGAGATATTATTGTTACTGGTCAGATATTTAAGTGCTTTCTGTTCTTTGTTGGAAAGATTGTTTTTTTGTGTTTGTTCTGTATCTTGTTTGATGCTGCATTAGATTCTTGGGAGCCACATAGTTTTACTAATTCAGCATAAGTGACTTGATAAAAGGCTTTGGATTTCAATGAGTAGAAGCTGAAAGGAGTAGAACAAATGTCTTGTTGCATTCCTTACCGTATACAAATAACCTTAAATACAGGTGGGTGCTTGCAGTGACCACGCATGGCACCGTGAATAAACTGAATTTGTAGGAATGTCACCAGCACACCATTGTTTCAAAGAAATAGGCAAAAGTCAATTTATTGAAGGAACATCGCCATTCAAAAACTAGCTCTTTCGGGGCCACGCAGGCACAGAATGACCACATTCTGAGCCTGATGAAGGGAACCATGTGCAATGCCGAAGCTAGAAGGAGGGGGCAGTAAGCTATGCATGATGCTCGGGTTACGCCAGTCCACTAGTTCAAAGGCAGGTGGGTTGGAGGGGTCTGAAAGTTCCTCTAATATAGCCAGAGTGTCTGTCAGTGTCACTGTCAAAGGAGTCTGATGCAGTGGTTTGGTTCTTCTTTGATATCTGGTGGTGTAATATTATTGTTGTGCCTTTTTAAAGTTAAGTGACGGATAAACTTGTTGAAATCTTTGAATAACATGAAGGAATCGGGTTTGATGTCAGGTGCAAAGTTGAGACCTTTGTTTAATAGTGATACTTCGTGTGGGGTCAGGATGTGGTCAGAAAGGTTAAATAATACTTACTGTTGACTGTTTAGCATATGAACGTGTTCCTCTTTTTTTAAATTCTTTTTCGGGAGCACATGTGGCCTGATCCTAAAATATGCTCTGGCTGTTGCGGGGTGAGTGGGACCAGTTCAGGCGTGTCAGTTATTGTTTATAGGGGGGTAAGGTTGTTGCTGTCGTCCTGGTCTTCTGGGGGCCCTAATGGGAGTAGGTTGTTGATGTGTGTTGGTGAGTTGTTCGCATGACAACCAATCAGCTTCTCTCTTCCGGATTATGGGGTGAATTTATCAAAACTGGAGCAACTATGCTTGGCAACCAATCAGCTTCTATCTTCAGTTGAGTTTTGAAAATGAAAGAGAGAGGCTGATTGGGTGCCATGCACAGCTGCTCCAGATTTTGTCTGCTCCAGTTTGATAAATTCCCTTCATTGTGTTGTCTGCTCTACCTCTGTCACTTGGCACAGTTCTGCTCTGGCCTCCAGCCACTCCCTGCTCTAGAGAAAACCATAATATGCACCTTGGGCCCAACCATAGCGAAAACATATACTTGCTGGAGGCGAAACGCCACAGGCAGCCCTAGCGTTTCAGCGCCCACCTGACCCCGTCACCAGATTTCTTTTTTTTTGCTATGGTTACAGTTGCAACCAGACAAGCCGGTATTGTCCAGCCCTGTATTATACAGACAAGTTCTCTTTATTAAGACATCAGAGGTCTATTAGACTCTTAATAACACCTCTGCCTCTAGCCAATGCACATTGGGGACACAGAGTCCCTGATCTGAATGTTAACTGGCTGGTGCTGCTTATAAATTAAACTTCTGCACCAAGAAGTGCTCATAGCTGAGGAGTAAGCTGAAGCCAGATGCCTAATTTTGAAACAAGACCACATGCACCCTATGTTTTTCATTATATATACTTTGCACCTTTGGAAGTCAAGAGACTAACACATTTTTTTTTTAATGTTCAAAGTAACTACCAACAACAAATGCTGTTGTAAAGCGAGACTATTTTTTTCAAACAATGTATTGTTATATTAAAATATAGTTCTGCCTCTCCAGGCTAGTCTTTGCACTGAAAAAGTACCTGAATGTCATACTGAAGGGAACGGCCATGAGAGCTTTCACTGAGGTTCCAGCAACTGTTATCTTGTGAATCCCAAATGGAAGTTTTCTGAATCTTGTGTGAAAACACTTCTAAATAGACCCAGAAGTTAAAAGCAAACGGCAACTGTGTTGATTGCTGTTTAGGAACTAATAATGTTTTGTGAATCCCGTGTCATGGGTACATTCCATATTAAAATGTTATTTGTGAAATAAAGATTTGATTAAAAACAAAAACAAAAATAAGATTTTAAATAAGATCCTTCATGTACAGTTATGTTTACATATTTCTTTTGTTACATATTTATATGATTTATTGTGATTTTATTTAATTAAAGTGTTAAAGTGTACTTACTGTTTATTAAAACTCTCATCTTTTATGTTTGTTTAACATACTTTTTTAAAATTGTTTTCACAATAGAATTGTACTCTGCCTTGATGATGAAAAAAAGTTCTGTGCCAACAGTCGCAACCTTCTTGGAAAAGAATTTATGAAGCAAAGGCACTTGCGCTTACTTGGTTATCAAGTTGTTCAGGTGGTGAAAAGTCTTAATTATTATATTTTAGTTCTTTTTATTAAAGTTTTCCAAAAACAATAATACAGATATAAGTATATTGTCACCAGATGTTCCATATTTTTATGGAACATATTTTATGTTGGAACAGGAAGGGGCCATCCCCAAACTGTTCCCACAAAGTAAGGAGCATGAAATTGTCCAAAATGTTTTGGTATGTGGATTGTCTCATTGTCACAGGTCGGCTAGAACTATGAGGTGAGTGAAAAGCATTCACCTCATAGTTCTCCTTTAACTATTAACAATACCAGACCTTATTTGTGCATCACTCAGCTGTAGATCCTCAAATCATCTCTGAATTCATGCTGACACTGTACTTCTTCTGCAGGGTGGCTACTTTTGTTCCATATGGTCTCTGTGTGTGTTGTAGTCACTCAAGCTCACTGCCGTATTGGACTACACTCTTATGTTTAGTTTACTAATTTGTATTGAGATTGTAGTCTATCATGGGAGTGAGCTTGGAGCGGTGACTACCTTACACCACACACAGGGAGCATGGGGACAAAGTTGCCACTCTCCAGAAGGAAGGACAGTGTCGGCACCAATTTAGAGATGATTTGAGGATCTACAGCCGAGTGATACACAAATAAGGTACATTTTTGTTAAGGCTATATTCACACTAAGTGCGATTTTAGATGCATTTGTATGCATTTAAAAAGATTTTTTTAACGCATATGTATGCATCTAATAATTTCCAATGGATCTATTCACATTACATTTAGATGCTTTTATCCACAATCAGTTTATCTGTGTTTAGAAAAAATAGAAGTCCAATGCATTTGGGAATTGTTTTTAACTTCTAAGCGCACCAAAACCACATCTACACATGTGTAAGCAAATGTAAACACAATTTGATGCTAGGATTTGGTATCTAAACACATATGCATGTAAATGCGCATGATTTAACACATCTAGAAAGCATAAACAGTAGGGATACACCGATACTTTTCGAGTCGATACTTGGCAAGAACTACCAGGGTTGCAGCAGTTGCAGCTGGGACCTGGCTCTGGCGCTCAACCACTGTCCTGAAATCATTAGTCTGTATTGTTTTAGAAAAACTGTCACATGACAATAAACAAAAATGTACTCGTACTTGTAAGTACTTGGGCAATTTCCAGTACTTGTACTCGCAAAACTGCATCCCTTTATTTATATTTATAAAAACAAAATCATACATTAAAACAGAGATGTACAAATCCCAGGAGCTCCATGTGCTCCTTACAAATGACAGCTGCCTCCTAACTTTTGAATTTTTCTCTAGTCTAGTCTCGGAGCTTGAAAAGTATCGGTACATGTACTTGTATTTGTACCGAGTACTGTACTTGGTATCGGTGCATCTCTAAAAACAGCATAAACAAACATCTAGCCTGACAGATTTTTTCTGTGCATATAGAGCACCAAAACGCAAGTGTGAATGTAGCCTAATAGAAGTTAAATCTTTAAACAAACAAAAAATGCATTCAAATGCTGAGTTTAGTGCCGCTTTAAAAGATAATAGTATATCTACTGACGATGAGGAAAAAAACAGGTGACCAATAGCTATGCAGGAAAAAAAAAAACATGTTTCCTTTCTGTGTGTAATGGTTTACCCTGACTGTGTGCAAGAAATCAATAGCTAGCCTCCTCCAAAAAAAAAATTAAAAATACATGTCAGCCTCCATGTCGGCTACACAACTCAAATCAAATTATTTTACATAATGTCCTTTCAATTGCTAAATAATGTATATATTTTTATTGCAATAAACTTATAAACCTGTCTAATCAATGAATATATATTTTTTTCAGATTCCATTTTATGAAATCAAGAACTTAAACACTGCTGAAGAAATCATTGACTATCTTCACATAAAAATGTTCCCTCATTCTTTTCGAATGAAGTGGTGACCGACACACATACACTTCAAGCATACTGTAATGGTTATTGGTAAATTTTCTTTTCTTTAGAATGTGTACAAGTTAATAAACTGATCTGTTATATATTTTCTCATTTTGTGTGTATAAACTTTGTTTTACAAATAAACATATAATACAGGAAGCTTCTGTAACACTGTGCTGTTGCTGAACTTCACGGCCTTTGTAATTATTCTCCTGCTTCTGATTGATAATCTACAGTATATGACTGCTTACGTACTAACACAGGCATGTCAGTGCATTTTTCTCCTGACTTATATTCAGCTGAATAAATCAGCTGTATAGCAAGAGATTACATTACACAGGGTAACCACAGTATAGTAATTAAAGTGTAGGTGAAAAGAGACACCCTCTATTTGTCCTTGTAAACATACTTCATAGAATAAAAAGTGTCTCTGTACCAGAAAGTGAGGCTTATGCGGAACACCTGGTGGCTAAAGATGGCAACAAATTTAGAATTAATATGCAGTGTTTCATATTTTCCTGATTAACAATTTAAACGGTTTTACTTTTAATTCTTAACATCAATAGTCATATTGCATAACCCCAATACAATTTACTCCTCCTTACAAAAAAAGAGAAAAAAATCTCTTACCCCAGAGTATGTTGTAGCCAATTGAGGACATTAAACAATAAAGCACATCTTCAACTTGTGGAAAGTGTATGTATGGTGAAAAAGCAGCACTTGCCCACATATGCACATAATCCATATTCTATGATCACCAAATATAGAATTAGCAAAAAATATTTACTATTTGTACAACCTAAAGCCTTTAGAAGAATATACACAACCAACAATAGTCTCTAAGAAATGGTCAGCAAAACTCCAGAAAAAAGAATCCTATATACAAAAAACGCTGATTTAGATATATGGAGGTGGCTGTGTATGTATTCTTATGATTTGTGCTTCATAATAATAATAATCAGATACATATCTGAAAGACTTTGAGGGGAATAAAATATTTCCTACAGGGTCACTGCTCTCCTGCAATAAATATTTCTGAGTGTCCTTTGACTTAAATAAGAGGCTTTGTCTTTTAGGGGTTTATTTATCAATATTTTCACTCAAGATATACATAAAGTTTACCCAATATTCAAACTTTTCACATAATCCGAAAAATGGGTGAATCTTGGCCGAAAGCTGTATGAATCTTGGATTTAGAAAATATAACTGGACTCCTTAGTGTGTTTTAAGTGATTTTATTTATGCTTAGTGCTTTTTTGTGTATGAAATACTTTTAAAGAGAATATGCTTTGTAGTTTTGCTGACCATTTCATAGAGACTAATATTGGTTGCGTACTTAAAGTTTTTAAGTTATTTCAAATGCTGATTACGTCTCTTACAACGGATGCTGCTCCTTGATGTTTAATGGTTTGTTTTCTGCAGAATCAGCTGGTGCCTTAAGCACTGGCCCTGATATTCTGGCAACACATGAAGTGCCTACTAGCCCCTGATGTACTCCAGAACATTATTAGAGGTTTTATATCTATCTTAACGGTTTTGTAGTATTTGCTAAAATAAAGATTGTTTTAACTGCTTCCGCTCCAACATCTATATACCTCCGATGGATCAGTGCAATTTTTACATTTCTGCTATGGGCCTTTTTATACAACAATAAGTTTGTCATTATGTAGAATAACAAAGTCATACATAATACTGTTTTTTAAGACAAAAAAAAGCCATTCCTTTTGGTATATTGTCTTGCAAAGAAAGTTTTTATGTAGTTCATAGACCAGGGATATGCAACCTTTTGAGTCTAGCATGCCGAATATTTTTGTAAGAAATTGTGAGTGCCAGGCAGAAGTTTTGGCTTCCTGGAGAATCAGCTGGTCCCCTAAGCACTGATATGCTGTTTTAGGGTGGCTCCTTTCCCTTGCAGGAAATTGTGCCGGATTAGGAGTAATCTGATGTAAACGGACACATCCAATTTCCCATAGACAGACATGGGTCCCTGTATGGACACGGATATCACAGTTTTGACATCCGCTCCATACTGCTGTGATCAGGAGAGGATCCATGCACAGATCCTCTCCTGATTAGCCCGTGTGAAAAGGGTCTTAATCCTCAGTTGAACGAAACAAAGTAGACAATGTTACTTTGTGTCTCTTTCGTACCTCTGAACCAGTGTCTATTAGGGTGTATCAGTATCAGGGCCGATATCAGGCATTTTCATGACTACTTTTACTTGTGAAATTGCCCCAATTCTTAAGGTCGATGCTGGTCCTTTTATTTTTAAACCGCAGCGGCTGCTGAGTTCCCGCGCTTGTAGGGACCTTGGCAGCCTGCTGGGGACCTGCAAGCTGCTGTCCATTGCAGTGCCTGTTCGGTTCTTTATCTCCTCCTTCTCGGTGGAGTTTATGGACATCCCCAGGGGTGAAACTAGAAGCAGTGCGGCCACTCCAGGGCCCAAAGCTGGGGGGTCCCAACGCCCATTGACAGGGGAGAACTGAGCCGGGAGGCAATGGCAAGGATGGAGGTCGGGGCCCAGTAGTGGAAAGGATGGAGGTCCGGGGCCCAGTAGTGGAAAGGATGGAGGTCCAGGGCCCAGCAGCGGAGGTGGTTGGCCGACGGAGACGGTTTGGCGGTGTAAGAGGCAAGGTCCCAGCATCTCCAGTCCGGACATGGAGAAGGCGGGGTCCCAGCATCGCCGGTGAGGTGGCGTGCTTGCAGAGCCACTACAGATGTCCACATGTCACCTGGGTGAGATTGACACGCAGCCTGGTGAGATGTTCTCCTTTGGGGACATGTATAATCAGAATACATGTCCCCAAAGCAGAATACTATTTTACCTTAGGGACATGTATTCTGCTGTGGGTACATCTGTATTTTAGCCCTCCCGAGAAACTGCCCTAAAATCAAATCATCAGTCTGTGTTGTTTTAGAAAAAAAATGTCATGTTCCTTTAAGAAAAAGTATCCGCAAGTACCTGAAGGAAATTGCTTGATCTTAAAAAGTGGTATTGGGACATCCCTTGTGTCTATAAACACCATGTCCGAGGATCCATTTTTTAATAACAGCAACTATTACAGCTGCTGTATTTGCATAGCAACTGTCAACTGACATGTTGATACTGGGAACCTGCAAATGTGTGTTGGGGTGGGTGAAGTGGCAACAGTGCAGCACAGGGCTTACTATGCACTTCCTGTGTACTTTTGATTAAGTTTTTTTTTTGGGGGTGTGTGTTGTGCCCACAACAAGTTATTAGATGGTGGTGGCACTAATTATCTTGCTATGTTGCAGCTGAAAAGATCTTAACCAGGGAATAAAAGAATAACTGCTGCAAAGCAATGGGATGTTTCCTAATACAGATCCTGGGACTGTTGAGGTACTAACCACTATAAGTAGAATGGGGAGCAGTGTCTGCTGCTAGTGCTGGTGGAGGAGCTAAATATGTGCAGCCTACTGTCCTACTTTATAGGAGCAGCCAAATGTAGGTGACAAGTCACGTGACAGTAACTTCTGTTTAAACTTGAGTGCTGTCACCGCTTGAGCATTGAGTCAAATTGCTACCTGTCTTACCTGACATGAGCTACACTGAGCTTAACACTTTTGTTTAAATACCCTGAGTTACCTTTAGCGACCAAAGCTATCCTGTACTATATACAATACAACACAACCACCTTTGAAGCTCTGCTGCCCTCAGCAACTACCACAGACTTTGCAGCTTCATCTGCAGTTTCTAGTGCAGTGTTTCTTTTTTGCAGAAATTGTGTTTATTAAATTTTCACAGACAAGAAATTGTGACAACATACAAAGGCAGCGTCAAGTGTGCATCTTTAAGGATAATAGCATAATAGTAAATAATACCCGTATCAGCAGTATACATGTCAATGTGCTCCCGGTTCAAGCCGTTAATTCGCCCAAAGACCTGTCCCTGCCAAGAGGGTCTAGTCAATGCTATTGCGTCAGGCGAGGACCCGGGCCTTCAGCGTCAGGTTATAAACTAGAAGTCATGCAAAGGTCATGGTCCACTAAACATCAGGTAAGTTGCCTCACCTCGAGCCACCTTACAAAAACAACATAGCAATAGACTCACAACATGACAGGACAAGCAGACAACAGAAAGACACAAAGACGACGAGGAGGAAAGGAAGAGAATGAGGGGGGGAAGGGGTGGTAGAGGATTATTACGTGGTCAAGGAGAACCGATCATGTAGTTATGCCATTGTCCTAAACTCATCCGTTTCCATAAACATTAGCCGTTTCCATAAACATTAGCCAAGGCCTCCATCTGGACAGGAAGGCCTCCGACCTGTCAAGCCGCTCAGCAATCAGCACCCCAGATCTCATTAGACGGCGCATTTCCATGGTCCACTCCCCCAGGGTAGGAATCACCTGGGAGTTCCAGTGCCTAGGGATCAGTGCCCTAGCATCATTCACAAAAAATCGCAAGAGGGATTTCTTTGCCTGGGAGATGGAACCTGGAAAAACCGATAGTATTGCCATTTGGGGCGTGAGATGTAGTTCACTGGCAGACATTCTCGAGTACACGTGTGAGATGGTTCGCCAAAAGGGGGCAATCAGAGGGCAGCTCCACCAGATATGTGTTAACGTACCAACACCCGTTTGGCACCTCCAGCAAGTGTCCGGTATGGAGGGAAAAATCTGGTGCATTCTAGCTGGAGCTGTGTACCATCTAGTCAAGAGTTTGTAATTGCGTTCCTGTACCGCTGAGGACATGCAAAGGCTATGTGTGAAGCAAAAGCATTTCCGCCTATCTTCCTTGGAGAGGACCACGTCTAGTTCCCGCTCCCACGCAGATATGAAGTACGGAGGTCCTTCTCTCCCGGAAAGCAGGAAATCATACAGGAATGATATAAGATGAGGTGGGGATTCGCCGGCGGCACATAGTTGTTCGAAAGCCGTCAGAGGTCTCTGCAGGGAGCCGGATGAGGAAAGCCTACCTACAAAGTTGCAGTTGGTGGTAAGCGAACCAGGCAGTTAACGGCACAGGGTCAGGAGCAAAAAGTTGGGCCAAGGATTGAAGGGTACCCCCACAGAGTCCC